TTACTTTAACTCTTAAGCCAGCTGTGTTTGCAGGTCTCCTATGATTTAAAGTTAAAATGCTCAAAACTCCAGGTGGTCAGGAGCTATGCTTTGAATTTGGCATTTCTGCACTCCAAAAAAACCCCCATGAATAGGCCCATTAAGGGACTTAAAGGCTTGCTTAAAAATTGAGTCTAGTCTTCTTAAGAAGTCACAAGGACAAGGCGCTAATTTACACCTTGAACTTTCATCACCACTGATACTCTTTTCACACTTAAAATCCTTATGCCATCAGATAACCCTTGGGCAGATCAGTCTGACTAGCAAAGCCTGTATCTTCAGCCAAATCGTGTAAAAAGCCTGTCAGTATAGCCCACTCCTCACTGTAAACAAAGCTGAATGAATCCTACGTTTTCTGAGACACTGGAAGGAGTTCGCCCCTTACAGGGGCAAGTCTCTGTTAAAAATCAGATCACTCATAAAAGAAACTTTTCTACCCATTTTACAGGTAGAATTAAGATGACTTGGCCTGCCCAAGCCCACGAGGTATGCCCCAGCACACTATGGAAAAGCAGAATTTAAAGTTAATTCTTTGTAGTTCAATGTAAAGCTTTTGACTACAGGTAGATGTTTACTCTTCAGCAAATTAAAAATGTGAAATACAAAATGCTTGAGAGAATCCCTAAACTTGCAGTTGGTACAACAGCAGCAGGCAGATTACATGGTAGGCCAATCAGCTGCATAACATTCCAATATCCCTATCCGCACACACACACCAATAAATGAGCACAGGACTAATAACAGCTATGAAGTGCAGCCATTTCAGTGACTACACTTACTCTCTTCATCCCAAAAGAGAAGCCTACAAGACCATCCAGTGATTTTTTAGAACTGGACACTGCACAGCAAACCAGATTTTCAGGTCTGAAAAAAAACCCCTTAGTTTCCAGGCAAGTATTAGTACATACACAGAAGCAGTCAACTAGGTGTACAACTGAGCACACAAATTTGCATATGTGCTCTAACACCTCAGTAATGCAAGTATTTTTCTTCCAAAGATAATGAACAAAAAAGTTAGTCATAAACTCGGTGACATCTATAAAGAATCTACAAACTTTATGAGGATGTTGTTAGGGAAAAAGCTAAAGGGCAGCAGTGCTCTGGCACATAAGAAATACTCTTCATGCATAGAATAGTGAAATTATTTCTGGCTTCTGCATTTTCCCTTATGAAGAGAAACCCTTTTTTGACCCTTGCAAGTAGAGCAAATCATCAACAAAAATCCTACATACTGACTTAACATTCTGAATCACTGACAAGACTGACTCAGTAGTAACTGAGCAGATCTAGAATGAAAATTTTTAAAAAACATGCAGCACTACTTGAATTCTGCCCAGAGCAATTTAAGACCTCTGCTACAACAAGTAGTGAAGAATTGATTAGCCAAAGCTGACAAATAATTGCAAAGTGATAATCTGCTGCAGTGAGCTTGGCTTTTTTTGGTCTACACTCTAGACCCCATCTGTAGCTTCAGGAAGAGAAGGCAGCAGTTAGAGTGAGCTGTGAGAAAACAAAGACTCTGTGTAGGTGTATCAGTCAGTCAACACTGCTGAGCACCCAGGTCATATCTGCATAACCCAAGAGACTCCCAGGAAATCAACAGTATATACAGTTGCTGCTTTCCATTATCTTCCCCCACTCAGGTGGCTGAAGATTAAAGCACTGTTCCTGTGCACTTAGGGGATGCAATTACAACTTCTGTGTGGTAGGTAAACCTTCTTCCTTAGCAAGTGTATCCTATTGACCTCTCCAGTTGCATGAAATCAGCATTGTTATGTATTGCCCTAATTTTTTAGGCATGTTTTAAAGCATTTCAGTCACACCTATTTAGAATTCTATTCATTATTTTTATTTGCCTGAACCTCTTAGATTCTTTCTGTTCTCTTCAAAAAAGTGAGTTTTTTCCTATTTATTCTCTAAATCCCAGAACTCTGGTCCATAGGGAGTAGAACCCAGGTTGTCAAACCTGATAGGAAATCACCTTACACTTTACAGCAAGGGCAGAAAAACCAAACTCTTTGCACCCTACTGATGTAACAATAGGTCTGCCTTTTCACCAGAAAAACTGAACTACAAGCCATTAAAAAGATTCAATCCCATTAAAAGCAAAGGGATGCATGAAACACTTCAATCAGTTTAATACTGCTTTTATGCTGTAGCTCACAAGTGTTAAACACAGAAAAGTTATAGCAAGAAGCAACATCTTCTTGCATAACATCTATGAACAGTTCTCCCAAACACACCTCAGAATGACTTCCTCTTCTTCCAGAGGTTTTCAGAGTATATCCATTATTACTAACAGCATGAAAATAACATCCTGACAGGGACAATACCATCCTATTTTCACAGTGCTTTTATTTTCACACTTGAAAGAATGAACATTATTGCCACATAAGTAAAACTCAAACCCCACTTTCGACTGGGGGGATAGATGTGTGAACTCCATGCCAGTGAAATGTACTATTTTGAGCAGCAGCTAATGATTTAGGTAAGTAAAAAGAACCCTCACTGTTACAACAGCAAGGGGAGAAAAAAAGTAACCTCTCCTTCCCCTACAAAGAGGAAATCAGGACGAAAATGTATCTTGAAAGATATATATATATATGTGAGTATTATATATTCAACACAGAAAAAAATACAGTTAGGATGGATTTATTTCTGGGAGAAAAAAGTGATGTTTCTCTTAATGTCCTCATTTGCAGGAGTATCAGATATAAAAAAGTTCCTTTCATAAAACTATTGAAAAGTGGGCACTGCTACACTTACCTTCCTGCTAAAATGAAACCAATTTTAAATAGTACAATATACGTAAATAAACACAAAGAGAAGGCCTAGCCTGTGAAAAAAGTGAAAATAAAACAAAAGAAATGCTTATTTCAGACTTTTTTTCCTAGGATCTGAAAAATATATTCTAGTTTCTCTGTCCCATCTCTCTATAGCTCCTTTATTATGCTTAATTTCTGAAAATATTCAGTAATATCCAGTGCATTCTCTCAGCAAAGCTACGTGTAACAGCACATCTTTATATCCCACGTGGGAAAAATCTTCAAAGAATGAACATGAACACTTGCTTTTCCTTCAAACTACTTTCACCATGACAGTCAACTGCTTATATCCATATTCAATAAGAAAGACATACTTAAACATTTTCAAATTTACGGTAGTATTAGGCATCTCTGATCACTTCAGTTTTCAGTTTTCCCAAGTACTATTTGTTATTTCCCTGAACAAGGCCTTATCTGATTTAAAAATTTATTTTTGCTTCTGAGACTCATAACCACATTCCATAAATATACTTAGAAATTAAAGAATACTGCTAAAATTTATGTGAAGTAAAAATGAAGTAACTTACGGCCTATCTTGATAATTCAGCATGGGTGCATTTGTAATCAATATTTGGTTTTTACATGGGTATGACTTTTCATGCTGTCTAAAAAAAAGGTAAGAAAAAAGACAGCAGTGACCATGTAGAGGGAAAATAATTTGATTTACACAGTGCCCTTCATTGTTCAGCTGTCCTTAAGCACTTCATGAAACAGCAAGCCTCCTAGGTGTACTACCATATGGGAAAATACAGCAGCTGTTCTGCAAGCTACAAGAGCTCACCTCTAACCAGAGGAATCTCATCCTGAGAGGCTGCATGCCAACACAAGCCACTCAAGAAACATCTACTCTGTTTAAGAAAACCTGGGGGTATAATTTTGCAGTACTTAGAATTCTTAAGTATAAAATAAAGCATGGAAAATCAGCGCTGTAAGTGTATGCTGGATGCAACAGGTCTCTTGACTACAAAAAATAAAAGTAGCCCCTAATATCTGAGGTTCACGTTGCATTTGTCCTATCACACTTAAACCCTGCATATAAAACAATGCAAAACTCTATGCAGATGGGAGAACTTCATCTCCTCTAAACTGCTGAGGCCCAGACTGAAATCTCCAAAGTGACTGGTACTTGTACACTAAACAATACACTATAGGAGTCTAAAGAAGGGAAATTTTATCCTAAAATCAGAGACATTCCCAAAGGTGAAACCTTTCTTACTAAAAACTTACTCTTTATAAGGAAAAGTTAATCCTCTCTGGCAAGCCACAGCCTAACTTTTGCTGTTCTTTGTCTTCCATTCCCACCCTGTGTCAGCAGCGCTAACCTTCTGTTTCCGTCATGGGACAAAGCAGACAATGCTCACCTTCGGTCTCAGTAACAAGCTGGATAAAGCTGTCTGTCTATATTATCATTTCCTCTCTTTCTGCTTAATAGCTGCCTTTTTTGTCTTTAATGAACACTGTGGCCAAACATAATCCTGCAGTAGGAAAAAATGGCAGATATTTGTACCATGAAAGCACAAAGCTCAGTTCTGTACATTTTATTAATCTCGTCTCATTGAACAAATAATTATCACAAGTATACACAGTTCTAAAAATGGAAGTTTTCCATAAGGAAAATCCTTCCTGTGTGATGAAACACACAAGTTATCAAAACAGGATGTAGAACAGAGAGCACACGTGCATCCTTACTTCAATTGTTATGGCATTAGTCCTTCCTAGTCGAATTAATCTTTGGAGGAATGTTGTATTTTTTTTAAAGCAAGCATGCTCTGTTCCTAACTCTATGAAGCCTGCAGAGACAACTGGGCACAAAAGTAAATGCAACTCAGGAAACAGTCACCTATCAAAAAACATGGTAAACTCCTAAGCCTCTTACATAAAGATTACTGTCAACTTCAAACGGATTATAGTCAGGGTGGCCAGTAAAGTCCTGAGACAGAAATTAACACCCAATGGTTCAATTATTCCAAAATCTGGAGAACAGGGTTGAAGACAACTTATCTCTCATCTCATTTGGCACACCTCATGTGTGGATAAGAGCAGCTCTGCAGTTCTGAGATTCAGAAACAAACAAGCAAGCAAGCCCCTCCTCTTCCCTCTGCTCCACCCTACACAGACATAGAAAGGAAACATTCATTTAATAATGGCAGAGTTTATTTACATTAGAGAAGGTTTACACAAGTTGAAAAGTTGTTTCAGCAGGAATCCAACAATCAGTGCTTTTGCCCATCTTCAAACAAAGGGATGATTTTTAAGATTTGATGATGCACGTTCAGAAGACCTTGATGATCACTTGGGGAAAAAGTACCAGGAATCAACTAAAACAAACAAACAAAAAATACAAGAGTGACATTAGTTCTATAAAGCTAGTCATATACAAACACTTGAAAAAACAACATTCTGCCCTTTCAGCTACCTTCCCTCCCATAACAATACTGCTATGTTAGCAGTACTAGCTGTGTTAACTCTATTCCCCACCCTGTGAAAAGCATGGCCTCAAAATAGTATCTGTTCATTTTAACAGTTTGGCTGTACCAGTCCTGCAACAAGTTATAACACTGTTGTGACCATCCCTGGAAAACATCACAGATCAGGCAGATGATGTTCAGTTGTCTGTCAGAGGTCTAAGATCTGATCCTTTAGTAAATAAATGCTATTTATTGGCATGCCATATAAAGGCAAATGGAATGCAACTTGCTTTCCCATGACATGGGCTACACAGATGTTGCTCCTCAAACACTTTGGCACTTGGCTCATGACTAAGTTTAACTTAGTATTTCTGTAACTCTCTCCATCTCAAAAAGCACATATGCCTTCTCTGTAGTTCCTGCCAGTAGAAAAATCTTTTTTTAAAGTAGTTAAAATTGAAAATGTAGGATGCATTCTTATTTCTTAAAGAAAAACACATGTTCTGTTAACAAGAAAAACAATCGTAACAGTGAAAGGATAAAATTTTGTCTTTAGAACTTACACTTGAAAATTAGGTAAGGTTATGTCAATTTGAGGAAAAGGAGCTATTTGATTAGTTACCTACTGTGAGGAATGACAAAAAACTAAGGCAAAGCAACCAATCTCCTTTAAAAAGGATAAATGTCATGCATTTGCCTTGCATGATCAGTAAGAGAAAATTTTTGTCTGATCATCTTTTTATGTGGACTACACTTTCACTCAAAAGTAATCTTCTCCCAGAAAGCATTCATAATTTCTGTTCATGTTCTATTTAGCAGAAGACAGGCAAAACCACATGACAGGATATAGCTATTCTCATTTTCATATACACAAAATTGCTTTTTTGCACCAAAACAGTTTTCATGTCAATTTTTAAAGCCAGCAATTAAGAGAAGTCATATGACATCTGAGAAAAAGGGTACCTTCTGGTGAAACAGGATCTCCATTCATAAATGCTGGTGCCTAAAAAAAGAGAAAAAAAAAGGGAAAAAAATTAAACCAACATCTCAGTACTTAAGGTTTCATAGAGAGCACCCATATTCACTAAACCAGAATTTTCTGATGCCCCCACAGGACAACAGTCTACCTTATAGATTTCTCATCCCCACTGTACAAATTTCTTTGTTGCTCATAAATGACAAAACAAGCACATGAACAATGAGTGATAGATTAACACCTTACCTAATGCAAAGGGGATTTTTGATGACTGTATTACCTTTGAGAATAACAGGATTTGTTGCTAACATCTAAAGAGTATAACAACTAGAAAGGTATTTTTACATGTTTCACTGTCAGGTATGCATGTGAATACATACACACACATACAATTTACATTAAATACAAGCAAACCATTTAAAATAAATGTGTGATGATACTCTTTAACAATTCCATGTTGACAGAATAATTCAGTTCTGTAGAAAGTGACTATTTGTTTTAAAATTCAGGTCTGGCATTCCAAAGCTAGATATGCCACTGTTCAATCACAGGAGCGCACAGCCTGTCTTGTCCTGTAATTTAAAGGACAAAATTAAAGACACTTTTAACACATCTGGAATCACCCTGCCTCATGATCAGGATGTAACAATTTTCCACTGTCTTTCCTTAGCACAGGAGCACTTGGGCTGAGCTGCACTGGTGTGACACAGCCCTCCTGCATCTGAGCAGGCACAGGGCTCTAAACACTGAAGAGCAGAACAAAGCCCCTGAGGAGGGAAGGAAGAAGCAGGATTCTACTTCCCACCTATCCACGACAATTACCTGCATGGGGGGGTTATGTGACTGGTCTGAAAGGAGGTACCAGTATGACAAACATAACCCAGATCCTATCAGCAGAATAGCCCCTCTGTTCCCAGCAAAACCCAAGCTTTATCTCATAAGACAGGGAGATCCAGAGGCCACCATTTATAAGCAGGTGCCTGCCACTTCTGCTGAAAAAGCTTAAGATAAGGAGTACTTTCCCACCATGACTAGATCAAATTCTCATCTCACTGAACCAAGAATCTCTTCACTACACGACACTTTCATCTAGAACACCATTAAAAAAACCAAATAAAATAATTAATTAATAAAAACAAACTTCACCAATCTCATTTCACAACTGGCCACTACAAAAAATTCTACCTTTACTAAATCCCAAATGGAAATGTTCTCACAGAAAGTGTGTGGGGAGAAATGCAGCAAACAAACTTTCTTGCTCAGATCTGAATTATTTAAAACACATCAATAAATATACAGATTCAAATTTGGTTGGAGATTTCTTTAAATTATCAGGAAAAGTCAAATATTTTCCCATGTAAAACACTGTTCTGCATTTTATCAAGAGACAAGCAAATCTTTCCTAGCTCACTTTCCAGTCTTATAAGAAAGAATTATGTGATAAGTCTGAGAAACATGGCTCTACTAACTATATATAGATTGTCTTGGAGATTTTCCAACTTGCAAAGTCCTCAGCAGCTTCTTCACAGAGCAAGTAATTCTTAGGATTAATATTAAACAAAGGCTTGGTGGTTCTGGTCAGTTTTACAGACAGCAACACTTAAAAGCCTGAAATAAACAGTGTATCTTGGCACTAACACATTCATTACAAAGCCCTGTGACTCCTGGGTTTAGTGTGCAACATATACCAACACTGGAGCTGAGACACAGATGAAACAACTCTCAGAGGCTAGAGAACACCAGAAACGTTCACTATGTAGTGATAAATTCATCTAGATTTGTAGTTGCAGGGGTCTGGTGTAATTTTGGCCGGTTCAAATGTTCAGTATTTGCTCTTAAATGCACAGGTTATCTTTTATCTCTTTGGAATTGATGGTCATGGCAGTTCACCTGCTAGGGAATCATTCTTAGTTTGCCCCCAATATGCCAAACACCTAGAAACTGCCTCAGTGGAGTGGAAATTCCCCAACCCAGACAAGCCATTCTAGTTCCTCATCTGTAAAGTAACAAAAGGTCAAATAATTCTGAGAACAAATGGACTACCTTGGGAACCACACAGTCAAAATCTATAGGAAATTCTGATTAGTGCAACCTTGGTAAGGATTTGAATGTTTTCTATTTGGTTCTGTTATAGTTCTCTTGCCCACCATGAAAACTTTTCCACAGCAATAGTGAGCGTTGCCTCTTGGCTTTTGGGGTCTTTGGGTTTTTTTGTTTTGTTCTAGGGTTTTTTTGAGAACTCAATATATCTGATTTAAAGCAATAATCACTTGCTCAAAAATGCTGCAACTGAAATCTGACGCTGAAAAAAGAATTGTAGGGAACCAACTTTCACTGCAGAAATAGCTCAGAAATTTTGCAGTAGATGAAATACATTTCTCACTGTGTTTCTCACAAAATCTGCTTCAGCTTTCATTATTTTGTTTTTATCCAGGACCTAATAGATGGATATAAATTAGAGGAAAATGTGTCTGCTTTTAGTTTGAATTAAAAACAAAACATCAAAAACCCAAACAAAACTCTCTGCAAACACAGGCAGCTTTCATTTGAAATCACCACAGCCATTAAAATTCTGCAGCCAACACTCACGTACTTTCACTTCAGTGTGAAAGAGATGAATGTCTGACAACCAAAGCATGCACTGTAGTGTATTAGACAAAAAGATACCTGCTTAAAATGTGCAAGTCAACCTCCCTGCTTATATTTAGAGTTCAACTGTCCATGATTCCTATCTCAAGGCCATTTTACTTTTTTAGTTATTGCAGATCAGCAGCTGCATGCAGTATGAACAGCATTTATAATAGAGTATTGCACATTTTCCCTGTCTGGAAAGCACCAAGAGGCAGCACCCTACAAAGATGTAATTAAAATATTTAGGCTGAACTGAAACAGAATGATGGAAAGGAGTATGTGGAAACAATTTCACAAAAACACCATCACTTAAATGAATGTGAGGCACAAAAAAGGCAGGAAGTCATACTATTTGATAAGAAGGGAAGCTTTCCAATAAGAAAGGCATTACAGTTTGATACAAGGTATCTATTTTATTAACTGATTTTACTAACTTCCTCCCCTCCCCAAAAACCACGGGGGAAAAAAAAAAAAAATTTGTTATTGAGAAACAAAGTAAGACATACTGCTGATTTAATGATTATTTACCCTGCATGCCTCAAAGTACAAAGAGCAGAGAATGCAAAATATTTCCTCTGCACATTTCTAACAATTTTAATATATTTGGACTTGCAGCTTTAGTTACATATAAAGACTCATATTTATTGTAAATTTGGAATTACAGAGAAGGTAAATACTTGCTTATAGCTGTGACTGACATGTCTAAAATTATATTTGAATTCCAAAAACAGTTCTTCTTTCATTTAAAATTTACAGTCCCATTAGTCAACATTCACAAATGCAACACAGAAATGCTTTAAAAGAAGTGCTGAAAGCAAGGTACCTGAATAGGAAAAAGTTTGGTTTTACACATATTTATGACTTAAACCAACATTTCTTTCCAAATGACAGTCTCATTTGCTTGTGACACAACAGCATCCAGGACAACATATTGTTACTAGAAATGCAGTTGGAATGTTAACTGCACAGACACTGGACAGCGTGTCCTTTGACACCTGAACTTGCACAATTGCTGTGACTGGTGAGGCGAAACACTGGGTGCCCTGGCAGCCAGACACACATGCAGAGTACCTCATGTGGTCATGAGCACAGGCTCAGTCACAGCCTATGTCAGAAAAGAAAAAGTAATACTTGGGGGCACATTTCTCCATGTAATTTCTGGTAACCTTGCCTAATTTCTGGCATCAAAACTAGTGTATTTTGAAATGGAAAAAATTCTCCTCCACTAACATTTGCACATGAAAGCATAAATCCTGCAGGATATTTTTCTTGCCTGAACAGGAAACCTGCATGTTTTAATTTTATGTTAATTTTCAGAATATGACAAGTATTCTTTAAGAAGCATTCAAATAAGCATCCCTTCTCTTACAGCATTGCATTTAATTATGCAAGTAGACAAACAAAGGGTCTGTTTAGTGATTAGGGACTACAGTCAGCTTGTCAATGAGTTCTAACACTGGGTGGTAACTCATGGCAACAGGGGAGACAGAGAAGACAGCAGGCTAGATACAAATAGCAGTCCATCTTGCTATTCAGGATCAGAAGAAACAGCACCACAGAAGGAGAAAAAATGAAAGAACTCCACCAGAACAGTAATGAACCTTCCAGGAAGCACAACTGAACCACTGCAATGAAAGGTTTATATCACAATGCTTACATTTTCCCCACAACCTTTCTGCTCCTCCTTTTACGTAAATTTTTGCTTAAGGAAGGACCATTTCAATTTAGCTGCTTTATTTCAGTTTTGGAGCTCTGAACAGTCTTTTCCAATTAATCATTAAAAGAAAAAAAGGGGTGAAAAAAAGTAAACGTCCTTACTGACTGCACAATCGATCGGGCATCCTCCTCACTGCAACAAAACGGGCTGCCAGTCACCAGAATATTTGTGCTGAAAAATAAAATTAAAAACCTGCTTTATCCATCAGCAGAAAAGAGCCACACACAATTCAGTACTTATGGAAAAAACCCACCATCACATATAGAGCTCAGAAATGTGTATCTGCAAGAGATGAGGAAGCGAAAGCCACAAAGTAAGGCTGGAAGGAACAGGTGTGTGGAAGGGTGTTCTTTGTTTCTCTGTGTTTGAGGAGGTATCTAGGCTGTGTATTCTGTATTAATGCAAGCACTGCTCACACTCAGTGCTTCTGGCTGCTAGCTTGCGTTCAGTGCAGAGGAGCACAGTGGAGAAGCTAAATTCAAGCAGCCAGCAGAAATAAACTGGCACTTCCTGAAGGAGCTGAGGAACACCTCGATGGCTAGCAGAGATGATGTGAGTACACCCCATCTCTTGTGCCTTGCAAAACGGCCAGCAAGGCATGGCCACCATGGAACTAACAGCAGGTTACCTGGAATGTACCACAAAATCATGGAAGTAACAGCAGGTTACTTCAGCAACCCACCTGTAGTATCTAACAAGAAGGAAAAACAGGCCAAAATTCTGCACCTACATAAAGCAGCACATAGCTATAGTATTTCCAGACAAACTCTGGGACCACATCCTTGGCAGAAATGTTTCCCTATGAATCTGCATCCTTGCACACCAAAAATTAGTTTGATCGTGAGTTTTTAAGGTCCTACAGAATAAACTGCACAAAATTCAATTCCTCAAAGCAACAGAATGAAGAGGCCCAAGATTCTCCCAAAACAATTCTGAACAAACACTTTGGGACCATTTCTCAACAGCTGAAGTAATGAATGTCACATCTATGTAATCAATTCATTTCTGGAGCCACTTACCAGTAAATCATCATCATACAAGGAGAAATTAGTCAATCATGCTTTATTATCAATTAATTATCAAACCCATTAATATTCCTGTCATCTCAAATTAAAAAAAAAAAATCTAAGCAGCTCATGGACAGCTGCAACTTGTTGAATAGCACCAGTATAGTACAATATGAAGAGCAAGAGATGTGACTGGATACATACCACTTTATAGCACCTCCATCAACTTTTTTATGAAGCAAAGCTTTCCAGTGTTCATGGGTAGATTTAATAATTTCAACAGCAAAATCCTAGTTTAAAACAAGGAAAGTTTTGTAAATTAAAATGTTATTAAACAGAAAAAAGCCACAGAGCTGGTTTATTAAAACATACTATTTCCTAGGTTATTTTAAGGCACCTCCTTTGAGGCCTCGTTAAATTTCTGGAGAATATAACACCCTTTTTATGTAAAGAAACAAACTTCACTGTTTATCAAATATATTGGCAACACATTCAGGACTTTCCCTCAGTCTGCAGTCACAAAACACGAATGCTACATGAAAGAAATGAAATCAGCACTAGATGCTACAGAGATCCTTACTGCTGTAGAAAACTGAACCAGGCTCTAAATGGGATCAAGTGTGTGAGCTATGACTCCACCCTTAGAGATGCAGGTCACTGTTTGAGTTTCCCCTCTAGAGGCATAATTTGCATTTACTTTATCAGTGCCCAATCATACACTTAAGCATTTGCAGGAACATAACATGTCAGCTGCTTAAGAGTTTCTGCTTGTTTGAAAGAAAAATAATATTGGGAGTGGGGCTGGGATGAAAAAGCTTCCAAAAATTAATGTAAAATAAGCCCTCGGTGTCCAGATGATGACAGCTAGACTTGCAAAAAGCTGCCAACTGAACATTCACATTTGTTAACAAGGAGTGACTTGGAAAAGTGCCACTGGAACATTGTGAACTTCACCAGAGCTGCTGGAGCACAGCCACAGCTGCCTCATCACATCCTGGGTCTCTAGAAATGCTTGAGAATTATTCAAGTGCTCCAAACCAGCTATCTCAGGGCATTTAGTGCCTTCAGGCTCAACTCCAATGGCCTGACAGGGATACACTGGTCTACTGTCACTCTACAGTGCAGGAGCACCTCTAAGAGCAGTTCCTGGGAGAACAGGGGAGAGATCGGGCTATCAAGCCTTACAACTCCACAACTATTGATTTAAAAGGCAGTTTCAGTGCAGAGGGGAGTCAGGGCATTTCTTTAACCAGACAAAGCATGTAAAGCTGCCTGTGCTGGTTAGAAGGCATTACGTAACTCTGACAGCACCCTGCAAGGCTGAACTGGCCGACACATGGACATCATTCATAAGAAACTTGTGATTCTTTGCCAAGAATAATCTACACAGAGCATGCAATGCACAAGTTGCAAAGCAATTTTACTCAAATCACATCCAATTTCTCTGGAAAAATCCAGGTATTTCCTTCAACAAAGTCTATTCCCTAGTCCGATCTCCTTTCAAACACTGGTCATTCTTACTGTAAGTAGTCTAAAAAGCTGGTTTTCTAAAAAAAATAAGGCAAGTAATTTTTCAGCCTTCAAGCCCAATGTTCCAAATGTTTTTACAGAGATTTAACAGAAAAAAGTATGCCTTGAGCAAATACAAAATATGAAAAAATCTGCAACCCATTGTCTTAAACTGCATACCCTAAAAACAAAAGTTAGAAAATTTTACCAACAGGACTACAGAAAAAACTGAAAAGACAATCTGTTCATTACTCTGACACAGAGAATGAAAATGTTTTAAAAAACATCTACAAACACACAGATGCATGTGTAAATCTCATCAGGACTAGGACTAATTTTTTTTTCAGACTTTCTTTACTGACCTATGCATTTTTCTGGAACAAAATGGTAGGCAGGAAACAATATTTAATCCTAGCCTAATAAATTGTACACAGAAGTCCCTCCCACCAAAATTCTTTTCATTAAGCTTCCTCCTTTACAATTCCAAAAATTCTAGAGTCCATGTAACAGAATGATGTATTTTTAATTTTGCATTATCTTCACCTTGTTTTTAAATTCTCCATTTAAAGCAAAGTGATTTTCTGGTTTACCATCAGGGACTTTATATAATTGGAACCAGTCAATTGTAGCCTCAAGATAACCCGGTTTGTGCTTCTTGACATCATCGATATCTGTAGGTTAAAAAGATTTAAAAAAAAAAAGAACTGATCATTTTCACTCACAGGTTTCAGAACATCAATTTTTTAAATTTTCCTAAAGAATCTGCAGCAATTTGATTTCACTGAATACTTTCAAAGTGATTGGTAAACTTTACTTTATTACATTAGCTGCCCATAGTTGCTAGCTTATGATTTCACAACCACACTAAGCAGGTAAAGCAGTCATCTCCTGCCCTTCATTCATTAAGAGCCAAAGGTACAATGAATAAAAGGACCATATTTGTGACAGGAGAAGAAAATCCTATCTTTATCTCAGTAGGTAGCTCTTGCAATACTTAGATTATTCACTGACACAATTTTTTCTTCCAGCAACTGCAGGGCCTACGAGCCTTTTTTGATAACGGAAGAATAACTATAAAAACAATTTCAACACATGGATCTTTAAACCAGGACCTCTTAACAAAATACAGGCTTGACTTGTCAACATTATATTAAAAGTCACTTTTTTGCTCACATTAGTCCCAAATTCATCCCCTTCAAGACATGACAGAGACGTGCCAGGAGCTCTAAACACTAACTTTACTGATAATCTTTACTGATACCTGCATACTCACAGTGACAAACAATTCTACCTCTACAATCCTGATGGACAAAGATGTGACAGGACACAAAGAGGAATGTATTCTATTTGTGGGACACCCTTGTGAAGCAAAGATGAACACTACCCTGGTGTATGCAGAGAGATGAAACATCACAGTAATTCAGCTTGAAGACTACGCTGCCGTATCAACGATGCAGTTCCTGATTCTCCACCCCTTACCTGCTCTGCATATCAAATTTTAATGGGCTGTCCTTGGAGACAGCCACCACTTCTGTCACTTGCAATGGCATGGCCCTATCAACCCCTTAACAAATTAACTCCCTGGCAACATGTTTACATAGCAAAAGCTTTCAACACTGTTCTAATAATTTTGATGTCATAAAGGATTTCGTCCATCCCAGAAGCCAAATACTTTGTACCGGTGTGATCTTCTATTTCCTTTCCACAGTCACTTCTGATGGAAATGGGAGCTGACCTTTTACTCCTGTAGTCTACCAACTATTCCATAACCTCACTCTGCTCAGGCCATCTTCCAAGGTGTTAGTCTCCTCTAGTGTTTTGCAAGTGACTCGCTCGTGTCTCCCTTCCTCATTCCTTCTTGCTCTCTCTCAATACTGCCTGGCTCCCTCATTACCTTCTCCCATAGGTACGCCTCACTTGATGACATCTGGTCAGCAGTGATTTCTGCTAAGATGCTCTTCTGTCTATCCAGTCCTAGAAAATCAGAGTTGCTTAGTCTATGGAATTGATACCTAGTCATGTATCTTTAACTGCCTAAATGTCTTTTAAAATTTCACTGTGAACCTGAACAAAGACATCAAAGTATTTCTGAAGAGAACAATAAGCGAAGAGAAAAGGTCTTGTGCTACAGACCATTCAATTCTCAGTAGACCACCAAGAGAGAAGACATGTAGACTGAAGTGGGAGGCCAGACCTATGCCTCAGAAGACATTCTGAGTGTTAATAGCATGTCATAGATGCCACTGCCAAATTCCACTGCATTTCCACTACCCAAAGAATAAAGCATGAAACTCTGAAGAACCCCATGTAAATTTTTGCTTTGCACACACTTTACAGGGCTACGTGTTTACGGGCTCAGAGTAAAACACATTTTGAACTTGGCTGCTGGCCATCTGTCTGTAGGAGATCAGGGAATTTCACTGGCAGAATCCCAGAAAAAAGCAAGGGCACATAAGACTGTGCTAGGTCTTCTAGCTGAAATACGTGTTTAAGAGCACAAAAAGCTTCTCACTAGGGTGGGGTGGGTGAGACCAACCAAGAAGGAATGATTTAGAAAAGGGTGGGATCTTGGTTGGAGGATGAATGCTTCACTTGGGCACTAATAAAACTGCAGCTCCAATTCCAATCAATCAGTTTCAGGACCCCAATGTATCATCTTGTTCTCTCCAAGCAAGAGAACATCCCTCTTCCAACTTAAAACATTGTCATCTCCTCCTCTTATGAAGTTTGAATTCACATCTAACACTTGTTGAAGAGACAGTATCTCCTCAAGTTTGTAAAGCAAACCAGGCTGCTGCAGCAATTTCCTTGGCTCCCAGCAGTAGACTAACTCCAGACCTCTATCTCTAGATACTACTTGAATTCAAGCATACTTTCTCATACTGCTGCTCCTTTTTTCTGGTTCCTATTCCAGCAAATGTCTCTCCTAACTCTGCTTCTCCACTCCCACTACTTGGTTATTTGCCTCCTACTCCCATAAAAACTGTTCATCAAAAGTGCCTTACAGTCTACTAACTGGCACTTGGTACTTTTCTCCATCTGTTGCCCCTTATTTATAGGTTTTATTTACACTTATTTGAAGGACTCAAATATTAGGATAGGCTTTGAGACAGACTTTCATTATGTCCTTTTGTTAGAGATTCTAATCTTCATGGATAGAATTGTCTCCCTGAATTTCACACTCTCTCTACTGGAAAATACCTTGCCCAAGTAAAGTGACTAAACACAATCATACTACAGCATTGTATGGATGGAGTATACTCTGGTTTTGAGTACTTAAGAAGGAGGGCATTGGTTGCTTTTATTTCCTGGGTTCCTTGCAAGGTATTCTCCTTTTCTCCTTCATCCCTATGCTTCACTTCACTATTCTTTACTATAAAAGACAGCTACTGAACATCAAATGAAATTTGAATGCTTGATTAAAAAAAAAAAAAAAAGACTCCAGAACATCTGTATTATAACGGAAGTTGGTGGCAAGCAGAAGAAAAACATGCAACAATGCAATAAAACACACCCCAGGAAAGTATCAATGCTGTTGCTGTGGAGTCAGCATTTAATACAAAATACAAGGAAAACAGCAGCTCTTGCATCACTCACTCAACAGCCACCTCTTCAGTTCATTAAAAGTCACCACAGAAAAACCTGAAAGACAGTTTGTCTTCCACTGAAATCTAAACAGCCTCTTTGGGATATCAGGGGGGAAAGGAGAAAAACCACATCCAGAAAACAAAAAAATAAGCAAAGAAAGGTAAAAGAGAAGATCCCACTAAGCAGTACAATAATTTACTACACTAATATCTACAGAAGATAGCTTCAAATTATTATGATTTTTTTTAAAAAGCAAACAATTTAAATGTCTTTTCTTCAGCAAACACTGTTAAGAGAGTCTTTTTTGAAGTTGACTGCTTATCTTCCCTCACTGTACTCACACTGATGTTAAAAGGGGCAGGTTGGGGAGCAGCAACTGTTTAGGAGGCCCAAAGCAGTTTGATCTCTGCCAGTAAGCCCTGCTCAAAGCAGCAGAGCAGGTCAGGCTCCTGCAGTTATGTTATCAGCAGGTCCCCACAGGGCTCTAAGTGGGAATTACTCTACACTGCCTGCATACAACCATAGGTCTCATTTTTCTGGGCACCAAAATTAAGTGCCAAGGGTTAAAAAGAGACCGCCGATCACATTAAGGGCTGCAGTTCAGTGTGCATAAGGAAAAACCCTAGAGGCTGGCACCATGAACTGCTGCTACCTCTCTGTCAGGGGAGTGAGCTAACATGAATGCAGATCCTAATTCTAACTGGCTTTACAGAAGAGAGCAACAAAAGCATTTGTACAAACTACCATTTTTAGTACAACAGATGCTGCTTCTAGCAAGCAAAGCTAAAACAACATGTTTGCAGCAAGCTTTCTAAACAAGGTCTGTGGGAAGAGAGGACATATGTTTTTAATAACATCTTATAAACATTTACAGGAAGCTGCAGCTACATTCCATATAAAGGCATTTGGTGTATTTTGTGCAAGGGGTAGGAGGGGAGACTTGGTACAGCAAATTAATTTCTTTATACTGGGTGCTTACACAAATCCACAACAAAGGTCTTCTGGGCCTCTGCTGCATCTCTGTGAATAAATATACTCACATGTAAAGGTCTGTAACAATATTTAGTACAAAATATACAATATGCCTTAGTTTTGCCATTTAGGGTTTTATCACTAAACCCTATCTTGAGATGTGTATTGTAAAAGCAGCATGGCAACACAGCACAGTTAACTACACCAGTGTCAGCAAAAGGTAGCACAATAAAGCCAGCAGATACCACCAACTGCTGTTGAATAGACCCTGGCATCTTTCCAGTGAGCAATGGCAGCAAAAATGGCTGCTAAGATTCCAGGCCAGTAAATCACCTCCATAATGCCATGGACTAATACATGATTAGTCCAATTTGCTGAAGGAGGGCAAGATGACCTTTTGAAAGCCAGACTTCATACACTGCTTCAAACACAGTTCCTGCTTCAACTGCCAGTGATTTTTAAAACTTCTTGTCCAATATGAAGATGCCACATACATTTAGACCAAATCACAGCATAAAATTGTCACTCATCCCTTCTGAGCCCAAACTAGAAAAGCATTAGATATACAAGTGAACTCCAATATATTAAATTCAATCCAGACTATGAGATAAGCAGACAAGCAACCTTTCTACCACAAAAATTTACTTCCAACAAAATAAAGAAAACAACCCAGCCTATTACACCACCAAGATTTAGTGTTTCAGTCTGCAAGGAGGAGCTTTTAGGTCTTTTCTCAGAGTTGTTTGGTCTAATGTTGCTCCGCTGGTCTACTAACAGCCATCTGCCTAGCAACTGCCTGAGCAGAAACACAACAGCACAAAGCCAGATCTTAATGAAATAGTTGCTTTTAGACTCCAACTAGACATGATCAGATTTATCTTTCTCACACAGATGCCTGCATCTGACATACCACTTGTATTTGGGGAGAGATTGTCCCTATGCCCACCAGAATTAAGTGCTATTATTTCAAACAGATTACCTTACAAAGTCAGTCCAAAAAGACACTAAGACCCTGCTATTCCTCCTGATGACAGAGTTCCCACTTAAAACAGATGCTAAGCACTGCCTATCATTCCTGGGTATTGTCACTGTAAACAAGAGTTTCTCACTGCTCTGTGTGAAACACAGAGCTCTAGGCAGGGTTTCCAATTTAAACCAGTATTTATCAATAAATGCCTGCACAACACAGTCCAGTGGAGTGCTATGAATAAACAATGAGAAGCACTCAGAAGTTGTGACCTCTCAGTTCTGAGTTCTGTGAAGTCTCAGAAAAATCAATTGCACTTATGAGAAGGATTGCAATCCTGGAAGGAGAATATCCCGGGTACCTGGTGTGTGCTTAAAGAGACAAAGGGAGTTAACACACAGTCCAGGCTCAGGATGGGGTTTGCAAGTAATCACCACTCTGGTGTCTTGAAATTATCTTTTCCAAATGTTCACTGGGGGCTCCGCACATACTGAGCTGAAAGCAAATGTGATGATTCTCAGTGCAGTTGGAAATCTTTAACAAATGATACAGAAGTGACTGGACAGGATTAGAAGGCAACACTTAGCCTCATCTTCCCCAGGAGGCCACCTCCATAACACAGCAGCACATCAATTACAGAGGGAGAGACTGGTTTTATCCGTAGCTGCCATGCCTTTATGCTGAAATAATTAACAACTTTGGGAAGGGGGAAAAACAAGTATAAAAGGACACATTGTACTGCCTGCTCTGACAGATTTGTTTGTTTTCAGACTGAAGAATGATTGCTGTTAAACACTGCAAGCCAGTCATGTCTTCTGAAAGCAGTCAGGGGCTTTTTTTCCCCCCCTTTTCTTTTTTCTGTAAATTTTGGGCTGCAACTCCAATCCCAAAGGGAAATCATATTAAACTGGATAAGTAGTTCTACACTTCTTTGAATCTCAGAACAATTCTCTTCTTGAAGTTTTGCACATATCCCTGATAAGAAAGGATGCACACAGGAATCAATTACAGGCAATGGTTTGCCCATTCCTCCTACTACTTTTTCTTTTTTTAAGACTAAAGCTCTTACTTCTCCCTGCCCAAATAAACTAAAGTTGTAATAGAGCTGATATAAATCAGTCATTACCTGGGGAAAAACAAAAACAAAACCAACCAAAAAACCAGAGAGAGCTTTCAAATACAGACAGTTAACCCCAAATAATAAATAATAGTGGAATAAACTACCACAGTTTTGCCCCTGCTTAGTGGACTCCCCTTCTGAATTCTCTCATCCACTTTTCTGACCACATTCTCTCAGAAATTGCCAGGGAGAAAAGGTCAGTCTTTAAGCAGAACAGTGCCTAGAAATGAAATGCTATTCACTTTTCTTTTAACTACTGACACTTATATTGCATTTTACTGCACATTACAGAGTGGTTTAAATTGATACTGACATTAACAGCAAACTATTACTTACTCTTTCCTTAAGCTGAACTTCTTAATCTCTAACTGTCAAAGTAGTTAAAGAGTCATAAACACTATGCAGTAATTCATCTGCCCAATGATTTTAATCAGCATCAACCCAAGAGTTTCCTTTTCCTCATCTCTTCTTCTCCCCTTCTTTCCCCACAAGTCAAGTATTCTCCATGTGAAAGTAACCTGCAAGAAAACTGAGAATGAAGGACTAGTCCAGTGATATACTTTACATTCAGAAACCATGAAAAAACCTCAATGGCTGAGAAACACACTTCTTTAAAAAGCAACTGGATTGGTCTATTCCTACAGAAAGGCTACTCTGCACCTTGGTGCTCCCTTACCAACAAAGAGCAGGCTCTCATTGTACATACCTGATGGTATATATGGTTTCTGGTTTCCTAACAACCAGTTTTAGACAAACCTCACTTAAGACTCATGATTCCTAGTAATATTCCATTTGAGGAAGCAAATCTCCATCTATCCAGAGAAAAACTGCACTGTACCTGTGCTATGAAAACTTAACTTCCTGCAGTTTTAACACATCAGAATGACACCTCATGTGCTACTCACATGGACACACTTCAGTATTCGAGTTTCATTTGGATACCACAAGTCTGATCACAGGGAGGACAAGTTTGAGCAGGATATTTCCCCCTGCACAGCTCATCATCAAGGCTGATGAGGGTAAGCTGCATTAGCAGTTTATTTTGCCAATTTTCAAGCTAAAAGGTGAAACCCAATTGTCCACACTAAGCAACAAACTCTGGAAGCAAGCCTCTTAAAAGTGGCAAGACATTGGAATGTCTTGTCCGAATGCAACACAATGCCTGTAGATATAAAAGGAACAAACACTTTCAAAAAGGAAAACAGTAGTGTGCTACACAACATAGAGCAGGTAAGTATGCACTACTACACAATACATAAGCCTGTAATTATTGGAGGTCACTTTCTAAGGCAGTTGTGTTTCAGGAGCCAAAAAACTTTCTGCATGCCGTGTCCCTTTGAAAATCCAAGCAAACCATTTTAGAAGTTTAGTGTGAAAGCATATATGTCCTACTTGAAGGTAGCACGTGACCTAAAACACAACCAAAAATAAAAAAAACCAAAAACTCAAAACCAAACAAACAAAAAACCCAAAACAAACAAACAAAAAAGTCTTGCCTTTCCACTATCTGCTTCTTATCCTGGGAGGCCTAAACTCAGGCACTATTCTGCTGGGCAAGTTTCTGACATAACTGCATTAGGAAAGACAAAAATACTTGCCATGGATTTTCTGAGCTTCTGGGTCATCTGCACTGATGGCAATTATCTTCCAATCTGTCTCTCCTTCATCAATAAGACCTAAAAGACCCAAGACCTTCACCTGAACAATCTCACCAGAAGAACGAACCTGAAACAGAAAGTAATGCCACAAAGATTTAGAAAACAACACGTAAAACTTCTCTTTTACCTTAAAAAAATAGTTTTACATTTTTGACCAGCAGGTTGTAACAAAATTGCAAGATAGCTAGAAATACTAAATAGATGTGTAGTGTGTTTGCAGATCTTTCTTCCACCGTTACTATTCTCCAATCATCAATTCTCCAGTCAGCATTTATTTAAGTAGAAAAGTAGATAAAGTTTTTTCATTCCCTTTTACCCAAGTTCCCCCACACTTTGTTGGTTTTCCTTCCAAACTGTAAGTCAGAAGCATCTCATATTCATTTTTTAACTTCTTCCTGTCCCTTGACTCTCTACTTTCTGAACTCAGGGTCCTATTTTCTGTCTTGTTATTCCTTCCTCTGGACTCCAATATACACATATAAACGCATAGCACTCCCCCAGAAATACCAACACAACCATTTTTGCATATTCTTTGGAACCTTCTCCCTACCAGCTAATATCTCCTCTTTAACTCTTTCTGGATCCCTTGAGATTAATTTTTAGGTTTCTTACCTCAAATAAAGCCACTTTCATTGAAGTCATTAATTAAATTTCCCCATACCGAAATATCCTAAGAGATCCCTCTTTCAAACTCGTCCATTTCATAACCTCATTTTCGACACAGCATTGTTCCATTCTTTGCTGCCTCTAGATATGTAGAATTTTCTTTCAGTGAGCTAAACCTTTCCTTTATACCTACCAATGCTCCTTGCTGCACCTCTTTTTCAGCTATCCATTCCACAACTCATAACTCCGCAACACTGCAGCAGGTTCCTGTCTTCTCTAGAAAAGAGGATCTACTTCTTTTAGCACCCATGAGTAAAATCAAAACTACCTCCTTTGTGGGTCTGACTTTATAATTCTAATATGCATGATGCTGTCATATTTCCTCATTTTTCAGCAACCTGTTCCTAGCTCCAATACTGCTAACAGGGAAAAAAGAAATAAACCTTAACTGTCACTTCCTTCACCCAAAACTTACTGTCCAACTACACAACTTCAGGATGTTGTTCTTTTATTTTCCCTTTTAGCCAGTATAAACACTTTACCAAATCCTACCATCCCCCGTCCCTTCTAAAAATCCACCATTTTCTCACCTATTCTCTCCTTAGATCCTCTATTGATACTTTTGTCAGTCCCTAACATTATTAACACATCTTTTCTTGTTTTCCATCTGACCTTTTCTTTCAGAAGTTGCTACCAAATTATTACGTTAACCTTGATAAATTAAATTAATCCTGACAAATACAAACCTTTGAACCTATTTCACAAACATCAATAGGATCATTATCCCCACAACATCCTGTAAGGTTATCCGTATGGTTTGGATCTTCCCAGGTCTGCCAAGGAAAAGAGAACTATCAGTTAGCTGCTGAACTGCAATTACAACTCATCTTACCACTAAATTACAAAGATTAGCAAAAGTAACAATAAAAACATCAGCTTTCTGAGAACAGGCTTGCTCAATGGGAGGAGAAAAAGTAAACAGCCAGTGGTCTGACACTGTGTAACTCATACTCAGGACAAGCGACATGAGGATTACTGAGGACATATTTTTCCGGTGTCAATGACTCAACAGATACATTTTACCCAATTGCAGTGATTCAGGCATCAGAGGACCCTGAATATGGATTTTTCTAGTTACTAGTGATAGTGGGATCAAGCTGGGACATCTTACAATTACATTTTCATTATACTTATTACATACCATGATACTAACATAAATTCTTTTCTAACACATCTAAGCTTTGAGCGAACCACACTCCTATGCATATATTTGTCAGCACCCAAAAACCTTTTTAAAGATTTTAGATTTAGGTATGAAGCATTTCTGAGTATTTTGAGACATGTACATTCCAAAGGACAGCTAAGAGTTGAAGACTAAAGAGGAAAGTTTAAACCCCAGCTCTGAATACTGCACAAGCAAGGAATCCTAGCTGAGTTATACTAACTTAATTACTACAAGTACTTGTTTCTACTTTAAGAAGCAATGAGTAATTCATCCTACAGTTGAGAAGTTTTTCTGTTAAGAATTGTGAGTCCAATTAGGTGTTGTTGAAAAGATTATAGAAAACTTTTTTTTCCAAGGAGTTATGCTGCTAGCTTCTACGGTCTGTGACTATAACTCCACCCCAAACTTGCTCTTGAGAACTTGACTGATACTGGAAGGCAAAATGATGAAAAGAATATGTTTAGGTAGCAGAATCATTACCAAAAAACTGCTGAAGTGAAATCAAGAGAGATCTTAAAATTTGTATTTACTTTTCCAGTACTCTTCACAGAATGAACTAGGTTGGCTGGAAAAGATCTTGGAGATCATCAAGTCCAACCTATGATCTAACATCACCTCATCAACTAAACCATGGCGCTGAGTGCCACATCCAGCCTTTTTTAAAACACCTCCAGGGACAGTGACTTCATCATCTCCCTGGGCAGCCCATTCCAATGCCCAGTTAGTCTTTCTGCAAATTTTTTTTTTCTAATGTCTACCCTAAACTTCTCCTGACACAGCTTAAGACTGTGTCCTCTTGTCCTTCCAAAGTGCTTTTTATTTAGGGCTGCATTATAGCAGTATTTCTCTTCTGCCCAGTCACACCTCTTAACCTCTCAGTTAGAAGGAAGGAACAGTATTGTTCTCTGGACAGCACAGCAACTTCTGCTATGATAGCAAATAGTCTAAATTAAAAATGACAATTACGTTCAGCCCTCCCCAGTTCACCAAGTAACAAGGGATGCCAAACATTTCTCCTGAGGAAAGTATTCTAAGTCCAAAATAATGCACTTTTCGAAGGAAAATATTTACATTTTCAAATAATTCTGGCTTTGAACTAAGGAACACACAATTTCAAAACATTAAATGGAGTTGCTCATTTCCAACTACACCTACTCGGAAACTTTGTCTACTGACACTGCTGACTGGGCAAGATTTCACTGCTGTATTCAAGAACCTGCCTAGCATCTCCTCTCCAAGGATCAAACACGTAAGCAGATTTTTGGGACTCAACTTTCATTGCTTATACAGTTAGGTGCAAAGAAAATAAATTATTCTTTTCAAGCTCCATCATGTTCTTCAGTACTAATTGAAGTCTAATGTGTTATTCACAGAAATGAAAAAAATTTGAAGCTTTTCATTATACTCAAAAATTCAGCCATTTTTCAAGGCTCAAAGTTTTCAATGTGTCATGATCAGTAAAGTCTCACAGTTCAGAGAAATGTTAAGGAAGGCAGTTGAGGTTTAATCTAAAAAAGAACAGCCCTTGTGTTCCTCTTCGTTAAAGATACTAAGAAATCCCAATTAAAATTTAAGCTGCAATACATGAAAATCTTAAATGAATTTTTAAATAAATGCTTTGTTTAAGCAGAAAAGGTCTACTTGACAAAATATTCTTGAATGGCAGACCATGACAATTAATTCTATCAGTACAGTACAGAGGCATAGACTAAAGATTTGAGATTTCTTCATCATTTAACTCCTTCCTGAAAACACAGCTCCTATTTATTCCCACACCCAAATTCCGATCAAAATTTATGGACACAATAAAGTTCAACATAAAAAAAATCCTAATTTACAAATGTATCAAAGAGAATCACCCCTCTTGCAGCTGATTTGCATTCAGGCAGTATCCAAGATTTACAAGGCAATTTACACAGAAGACAGAAAACTTTCACCATTATAACAAAAATGTTACCTGTGGGAGGGCACCATAATTCCATATATAACCCTTGTGAGGAAAGATATTCGCCACATATCGAAGCTTGCCTTTCTTTGTATCATGTTTAATGGGATTCAATGGCTCCTCTGTGGCAATCTAAGCAGATCGTGAAAGAGGGTGGGGAGCAGGGAGAGGAAAAGAGAGAAGGAGAATGTTAAAATGGAAAGCAATTAATTCCATACCCAACCAGTGAGAAAGATCCATCTGGCAGCACAAGCTTGTGGTTTGAGGACTATTAAAACTACTATAGCCTCACTCTGAATCTCAAGGGTCATATTCAAAAAGCTGCTTATTAAGGTATTAAATAATGCTGTAAAGTATGCAAGAAAAAATGAATCTAGAAGAGAAAGTAATAAATTTCTAAGGAGGCTGTCATGGTCAAACATAAAAACTGAAAGGAACTTAAGTCAGAAGCTCTTGGACTTTATGGTACAAGTTCAACACACATGCAAATGGTGGCACAACATCTTTCAACAAGAGGAGCTTTGACAGCCACAGAGGAAATGTTTCATGTTCTTGCTCTCTGCTCCTTGCTCTGCAATTGCAAACACCCCCTTTTTTTCCATCACCTCTCAGCATACAAATGCTTTTCCCAAGCACAAGTTCCTCACAGTCAGCAAATGCCAACTTAACACAGATTTGGAACAAGTTAAGCTACCATTTGAAGAAGGCATTCTTATTCCGAAAGAAGCACTGACAGAAAAGCTGAGCTACAGCTGAATAGTAACATCCTCCCCCAAAGCCCATACACAAACCACACACATAGAGCCACTGCCTGAGTTACCCACCACAGCTAATTTGCACTGCAACCACCCTTTGACACTCCACACCACAGTCCCAACCCACCAACCCACGTTAGCTTGGCTCTTGCTTACAAACACTCATCTGAGCGGCAAAACATTTGTCACAGGCTCAAGTGATTACACTCAAGTGGTGCATAGTTTCCCTGCATGAGCACATAGCCCTCTGCCCATATCCATTTTATATCCCTGGCCTTCACCTGAAACACCATCACCAAAGTCATCTCAAAGGAATTCCGCCTTTTAGAACCACCAACCTCAACAGCATGTACTCATTCCAAAAGTAAACCCTCCTCAAGAGCCAAGATGACGGTTCACACATTTCTGGCTTCACACTGGATTCTACCTGCTCCTGGTCATAACCAAACAGTGAAGGGCTCAAAAAGCCACCTGGGACACTGATGGAAGTGGAGCTCAGTAATGCCTTTTGTTCACGGAAACTGGGACAAAGAGGAGTAACTGAGGGCACCAAGGGAAGAAAAACAGAAATAGAACAAGCTGAGGAGCAGAAGATCTGTAGCAGGAAATGTAACAGTGGGTAGATATTCATACTAATGCAAGGCTTAATGTCCTGAAGTCTCCATTGCATGTGAGGAGAGATGAACAGACAAGATCTGGTAATAGCAGGAATTAGCAGCTTACCATGGTCGGGACTAAAGGATTGCCAGGACACGATGGCAATGCAAGACAACTACCTTAATTGATGCAGCAAATTTTAAGGATATTAAAAGTTAAAAATTAGGAAACTATATCTAGTCTCCTCCATCAAACCCAAAAAGCCTAAAATCAATGATTTCTAAACCTAGCAGGACAAACTTTTCTACTCCTGACATAATGAGAAGCATAGGGAGAGCACCCTGAGCTTTAGGCAGAGTTCAAGTAGCACTGTCAAATGGATCCTCTGCAAAAGAGAAGTCAGCTGCCACAATAAATCATGAGCTTAAAATAAACGGTAAATATCTGAAGTAACCCTGCTTGAAGAGTAATAGCTGCGATGGCAAACACAGTTCTATCATCAGGGAAAGGAGAAAAAAGTCTCAAATAGCAGGCTAAGAAGGTTCTTTGGTATTATTTTCAATAATTAAAAGAGTTAACAGCTCAACCATGAACTTCCTTAAAAGCATCTGGGAAGCATGCCTAAAATTAATACAAATGTTCAGGAAGACAGGACATATCCTGGTGAGATCTGTTGTTTCACAAACACTACAAATGCTTTTACTACTTGTAAAATATCTCCCTGCAGGAGTTCATACTTTCAATCAGTGAAGTCCCCAAATATTTTTTTTTGGTCACAAGGAAATGCTCTTTTAGTTGCATCTCCATTTGTTGGGATTTGGCCTAACACACATACAGTGGAAATGATGAATTAAATCATCTGAGTAGAATGCTACATAAGCAAACAGAGTCTAAGAGTTAGTCTAAATGCTGGAAAACACCCTAAAAGTCAGTACTCCAGGACTCTGCTGCAGATATGCTGCACTCTGCAGTGAGAGGGTTGTCAAGATGCAGTGCCCACCTGCTTTTCCCGCTTCCACCAAGAAAACAACCAGTAGCTCAACGCTTTCTGTAATTGCAAGGAAAGTGTATGCACCACTTCAAACCAATTTTTTAACAGATAACATTTTAGTGTGCAAAGAGCAATCCAAACTGTGATTACATTCTGCCTACTGGAAGCCACTGCATTGTTGTAACTTCCACAAACACCTATATAATCAAGGTATTTTTCTTAATTACCTCCATTTTTGCGTTGGTCCAACGAGGCATTTCTACAACCATATTAAACAGGACCTAAAACAAAAAAATAGTAACAGAACTGAAAATAAATTCCACTTGGCAATTAGTATTTTACAGTAACACAAATTCTCTCCTGTGCATTCAGCAGCAACACATATCACATTTCTGTGTTACAGCCACTTTTATTTGTATAGTTCCTTTGTATCAACCTCCATGGTTCATCCCTTCCCTACCTCACCCTTTTCAAAATAAGGATAACAAGAAGCAACGGAAATACTCCTGATGTTTTTTGTTCCCATGTCAATATCACTCTTCACAATATGTTCAGAATGTCCATGGAATGGTTTGCCATGAGGCAGAGGTTTAGTCTACTTGTCAGAGAGGATTGAATGTTTCTACAGGACAGAGTTAGCTTCCCTTAAGAAGTGGAAAGGACCATGTTTTGAGTTTTTTCCCCCATGGATTTATTCCTTCAGGCCCTCCTCTTTTGCCTTACTATTTTTCAAAACTCATGCAAATGACACTTCTGTTTCTCTGTCACATCCGGTTCAAGTGAGCTGACACTAATCCAAAAGTGATGGTAGAGGAAGGGCATGGACACAGACAGCTCACATTTGTGTTAGCCTTTCTAACAGAAACAAAGTGAAAGTTTTTTAAGAAGGTGGTGTGGGAGGAAAAAACCCAATAAACATGTAAACTTTCATGCTTTTAGAAGAAAAATAAGCAGACCACACCTTCTTACTGAGGAGGTTAAAGCAACATTTTCCAAAGAGAAAAACTCTGTGTAACTGCCAAAAGATTTCTTCTTATGAAGCTGAGTTAAGCCCTGCCAAGGAGAAGAGGACTTACTGAACTGGGTAACTAGAACAAACATCAAGCAAGGTCTACAACCTGTTTTAGACTACTACAATGACCTCAAAAATATCACATTGCCTGGGACATCTCTTCACAGCCAAGGAAAAATCATATTGGTATTAGCAATTGCAACAGGTCAGGAAAGACAAAATATGTTTGTGCAGAAACTCGTAAGAAAAAAAATGCAAAGTTGAACCAAATGAAGACTTGCACTGATACTCTAACTACACCACAATTAAGGTTCCAGTGAACCCTTAAATATTTGTATTTTTGCTCCTTGCACCCTGCAGCAGCAACAAACAAACAAACAAACAACATTACCAGGGTCAATGTCACAGTCTGATTAAAGTAATTCCAATGGTTCTATGATCATCTCCTCCCAAACAAATCTGGAATGTGGAAAGCAAGAAAGCAAAGGAAAATCCCAACTGTCACTCAGCATTTCTACTATGAGATCACAAGCTATGCACAATACTGACAGCCAATACCCAATAAATTTAAACTATATTTGCCATCCATAAGTACTGTGCCCATAATGCAATCAGTGGCATGTCAGATGGAATCACTTCTCCCAACCAGGTCATGGCCAAATAATAAAAAAGATTAAAAAAAAAAGAAAAATATTTCAGATAAGCCTCAGTTTCATAAAATACACCTCATGTATGTAAGAACAGTTGAAACTAAAATAAAGAGGGCTCAAAAATGTCAACACCAAGCAAGCAGATAGAACAAAGCAACATACATGCATGAGCAGGTAAGAGAAGGGTTGGAAGAGAGCCAAATAAAGTATGCACATCCATCTGGGAAACACTTGGAAAAGAGAAATGCACAGTATGAAAGCCAGTGCTGACAAGAAACTCTTAAGGAACTGCCAAGCAGGCCAAAATATTGTTCTGACTGGCAGCTACAGGCAGAAAACTTACAAACCACTGGAATTAGACGGGATGTCTTCCCCTCCACCACAATTCTGTATTTTTGTTGTTTAGATGCTGCCATATGCTCTCCTGTCCATGAAGAATGCAAAGGCTTCAGCAGACTCTATGCTTGGTTTTGAGCTTTTAATTAGTCAACAGTTAGTCCAGGTCTTCACCAAACCAACAGTCAGGGCTGGACTACACTGGACTGAAATTAATGCAATGCTGCCCTCAAAAACATAATAAAACCACTTGGATTCAACTCAGCTTGAAGACCAGGCCCTCATAATTTGTGGTATCAGTCAAACGTGAATTGTCAAGAGTCTTAAATGTGACAGCCCGACAGATTAATTTGTATGCAAAAAAATCCCCAAAAGTACTCTCTCTAATGCTAAGCTGCCACAAGCATTTACAAAAGATTAATGACTTCATTCAGTGTTTACATTTAAAAATAAAAAGTTTTATTTATAGGGCAATCAAATTTTCACAGTAGTAAGACTAGATTCACTCGTGTGAAAAGGAGAGCACATACTAGATATTGTGACAGATGGAAAGAGAACCAGACTACCTAGTATTATAGGGATTTTTTCCGCCTCTTTCCTATCTTGTTTTCCTCCTTGACTAAGTATCACACAGGAATGTTTCCATCACTCTCTTATCCCCAGACCAAGCACCTATTCTTTCTAACCACTTGAAAGTTGTCCTCCAACCCCTGCTGTAAACTGTCCCTGCCTCAGCTGAAAAGAAGAAATGCAAGTGTCAGACACCACCTGTCTCCACAGATTACCATCTGCATGTGTCATTCAGCGGTTAGTTTTGGCTGGTGAATGCATCTGGTAATTGATATTTTTATCTTAGATCAGTAAAATAAAAAATTCCACCTCACCAACCCCCTAAGTAAGCACTTCTAACCCCTCAAGCAATGGCAAGACTGTTTCAACAGCCCATTTGACACACCTTCAAATCACAGCAAAAAGATCTCTTATGAAACAAAAACTATAGCTTGCAAAGTTTACCATTTAACTGCCTTAGTACAACAGCCGCCAATTGGCTGCCCGTGAGATCAATGCAGTCCAGGTTTAACCCAGCTCTGCCAGTGCCTCATGGAGAAGGGACTCCGTGAGTACCGACCATGCAACAGGCTGGCCGATGGTTTCCTCAGGACAGTATTCCTGGAGCATGCAAGAAAAGAGGAGGAAAGTGTCCTAGATTCAGCAAAAGGGACAGAATGCATCTGCTAGGGAAAGGGAGCTGAAGAGCCCAGAGGGACACTTAACCCAGGCTATTGCATCAATGTGAACACAAGACAGATATTTGTACTTAAACTCTGTTATACCTTGAAGAGGTGATGGGGCAGGGGAGGTCTGAAATCTACTTGCTCAACACAGAGAAGTCAAAAGTACATTTCCTAATTCCTACAACTGCATAAGAAACTCAGCAGAAAATTACATCAGTAGGAACAACTAGTATGTGTAAATGATACCCCTTATTTCCTAAGAACTACACCCTAAGTAGATTACATGGGAACTCACATAGGTTTTAACTGTTTTCTTCTTTCAGGTGTTGTCTTTAACACTTCTTGGCACCTTACTGCATTCCATTTCAACTGAACATCATTTTTAATGTATCATGATATAGTTTTTGTTGAGACAAGCAAAAATGTCTCTTTCACACAGAAAACAGAAACAGCTTTTGGTTTTTGAAATTAAAAAAACATAGAAAGATAAAAATATATACAAAAATACTTCAGCATATTTGTACAGCAAGTATTGAGAAAAGCAAGAAAATACAGACTGTTGTACCCAGGTAAACTGTTAGTCATCATTCTGTCCTCTAAGACTGATGGTCTTAAAAAAACCCTGGTTTTAACTAGTTAAACTACTTTAAAAAAACAACTAGTTCTGGCTGTACAGATTCTTACAGAAAATAGCTAATTTTGATCCAGGGTTGTTTTTAGAAATCTAAATATCAGAAGGAAAAAATAAAAAACCATGACCTTTCTGATGCCTGCCTGTCTGGACTGCCCTATATCTCTCTCAAAACCCATTCTCCCTTACCTAACTTTCCCTTTCTTGTTCAACCAGTTTCCTTCCCAGTCATTCCAAAGTTCCTTACTTCAGACACTTGAGGGAAGGGGTTTGAATAGGTATGATTTTGCTCAAGGGTTACAACCCTTAATGCTCAGCTTGGAAGGTTCAGATAATTTGAGGCAGAAGTGGAGTAACCTCTACAGATTGCAATTTGCCATCACCATGCATGACAAGAGATATGCTAAAGCTTACAGTTACTTTGCTAGTTTTTTATAGTAGAATGCTTTAAAAAAATCTAAAAGCACTAGAGGTAGCATTTGAGGGCTGTTGACTCTTTGTCATAGAGAAGTTCTGAGTCCAGAAGAAAGAGAGAAGAAAAAGCAGCTATCATTTCCTTTTTTTTCTGTCTGTTCATTTACAATCTGACAGGGATTCTCATCAGCCATCAACTGAACATGGCAGCATGTACCTGAGGACTAACAAGAATGAAAATCATAAGCTGCAGTCTGGCAGTAGTGTGAACAAAGGGCAATGTTTAAAAGGAAGAAAGCAAATACAAGAAAAAGAAGAGGAAAAAAAGGAGAAGCTAAATATGTACTGTCATTAAATATATCCAGAAATAACTGGAGTAGGACTTCCTCATCAAATAAATAGCCATGTTATAAGCATTCCCAATGTAACACTTGCTATAAGATATTTGCCAATTAAAACAACAAACCAGATGCCAGCAGCATCTGGACACCGAAGAGAAAGTGGAACTTCTCCAATATAAATTAACATGCCACATAGCAAAAGAGGAATGCAATGTCCAGCATAAATACAGAGTGCCTGCAGTCTCTTGACAGTGTCCTTCCCTCCTGTTCTACTGGAAAGGGAATCACAAACACCATGGAGGTACAGTAGGTTTTACACACAGGAATCTCACTGGTGTCAGGCACATTCTCTGATAAACCAGTTATGGGACACATTCACCTGCAAAGCTATGCCATGATAAATACGAACCACAGGCTTTGTCAAGTTTAGGGAATCATTCATTTGAAGCTAAGTTGGATCAAATAATTGATGTAACTTTCTTAGTAAATCAGCAATACTCTGGGTGGATTTCAACTGGATTGATGAGTGAAGATTACTTCCACTCTCAGCATTTGTTCATCGTAGGAACACAAAGCAAGGCTGCACCTAATGGACACATCCATAGCAAAAGTCTGTGCAAGTTCAAGCATCAGGGTGAAAGATTCACTGATAACCTAAAATTTGGAACACAAATCCCTGACCACACAATGGACACACTGTAGCCCAGGTCACAATACTGAAAAACTGTCTAACAACACCAAGGACAGTTACAGAGACTGTAGCTAAGGCAGAATACAAAGTCAGCACAAAGTGTGCACCTGTTCTGCACAGAAAATGACAACAGCTTCTCCTTTCCTATGAAGCATACCAACTTTACCAAATGACATCTCTGACACCAGTTTTGCACACTGCTGGAAGCACAAGGTCAGATCACCTATGCAGACTGCATACCACCCTGATGAGTCCATAAATCCCACCTGACTAGTTAATTTATCAGAAGTTTTTGGCTCACAGAAGCATCTCAGCTCAAGTCCACAAGGGCATCCCAGCAATGTGTAATCCACAGGATACAACAAAACAAAAGCTGTCTTGGTTTCCTTTCTATTTTTTTTTTTCAAATGCTCTTGTGAACGTCTCCAAGTTAGAGGACTATAATCTCTACATGTTTGGACAGGCTCCTCACCAGAGCCAGCATATGAAACATTGTGTTTGAAGAACACCTGGGTCCTCTGAAAGACACCACATGTGAATACTTCTCCAAAGATATACAATGACAAGTAGATTACAAACGCTTTCAACTACAGCAGGGAACAACATGTCATGCTGGCCTTGAAAAGAAAATTATGACCTCTTCAAGCCTTCTTCCTGCCACACAAGGAAGACCATATTCAACAGTCAGGCTCTGACAGTTTTGACTGTAAACCTAGTGGAAACATCCACTTTTCCAGAGAGAAATGTGAAACTTTTGAAACCTGTCACAGAGATTTACTTGGGCAGGAGTGGATTCCAAGTGCTTAAGGCAATGCAGGGGTTCAGACCCCTGAAATTAATAGCAAGCTGCTAGTAATTTTAGGACTGGAACTGAATATTACTTCTTTCAGCATAGTTTCTACCTCAAAATAACTTCTTTCTTGTCATCAAACAGCCAAAAACCACCTGCAAAAGCAAAAAGGTCAGTTGTCAGCAGCATCTGCAAAGCTAAATTTAACTGAGATTTGGGAAGGTCTAAAATGTTACAAGAAGTGGTTGAACTAGTGAAAACAGTTAATACAGAAACTCGAAAGTGTTTCCCTTAGAAACTACAAACTGAAGCTGCAAAACAGCTGACACAGACTTGTAGGATGTGTGCTCTCTGTCCTACAAACGTTGAAAGCTGAAACTCTTCTAACTTTGAGACCTTTTCTGACATCAGGAATATCAAGGACAATTAAAAATAGATTAAACTGACTAAAGAGACTCTTCCAAAACTATCTTTGTTTTCCATAGCTAGACTGCCATCTGATAAACACCAGTTCAGCATGATTTAACAAACTTCATTTAATTTAACTCTTTAAGAGGGCTTTTGTCTGGAGTAACAAGTAACTGCCACCCTAAAAGCATAAGTTTCAAAGATGCATTTCCAGAACAAGAACTATCACTTTCGAATTCTGGTCAAATTCAGTGAAGGATCAACTGAGTAAGAGGTATCAGCAGCAGCCTTTGCACTCCTAGACAAGAACAAGGAGTCCAGGGCTTCAAAGGTCTTCTGAAATCAGTACATTACATTAAATTCCTCATTTTCCCTTTATTCCCTAATTAAGCTATGCTTTCCCTGCATACAAGCACACAAGGATGCATCTCTCATCAGGCAAGGTGAGGAGAGCTGCTGAAGAGCCCACTGTAAGAAGAAACTGCTTTCCAGAAGACAAAGATCCTCCTGTTTTCTCTCTCCTCCCCAAATCCCTAAGATCACGATGAAAAAGGTGCTCTCACATTTCACCATTTAAGTATGTTTGGGAAGCTTACAGCCTGCACATCTGTTTGCCTAATTGTATCAAAAGCCTGCTAGGATTGAAATGTACATTTGCCTTTGCTCATTTTCATTTTCTGTAGTTCTATTAAACCACAGTCCAGAGATGTCTCCAGCAGGAATTATGTGAAGCAGCTCTGGAGGTTTCACTGGGCAAGGAAACAAGAGCTGCTCAGCCTCACTGGCATTCTACCCCTCTTTCCATAGGCTACTAGAAACATGGTTTTCAACAAGCTACCATGCCCCTCACAGCACAGACAAATGCAGTTTTGAACAATTTCAGATTCTGCATGTAATGTCTTTGCACCAGTCAGCATTTATAACCAGTTAAGACACAGTACTTGACTTGCCAGCAGGAACTGTAAATAAGAATTGATGTTGCAAGACAATGATTTTTTATAAAAGTCTACTGGCATATACTCTTTCTCCTGAATAGTTCCTCGTTGAGGCATGATTCTACATCTACTAAACAGTACCTAAGTGGGCATCAAGCTACAGAAAATCTAAAAAGCCTTACTTAGTCATTGTATCTTGAATGAATCACAGAGCAAAGGGAGAGGAAACACACAGTGCAGGACTATGTGGGGACTGCTGTACAGCACAAGAACCAGTGCACCACACACTGGCTGCAAAACTATGAGAACCCAGACAGTTAAGGCTGTTCTTTCACATCAGATGGGTAGCTACAGTTTTGCAATATGACTGGCCAAACAGATAGGAGAAGATAAGGATTGGAACACACACCCGTCCACCCACATATAATGGCCTTAAAACATAGTTTGGCTCATTGTTTTTCTATCACATTCTTTTACTAAGTTTTAGATGAGTCTATGCCAGGCAAAGCACAGCAAAAATTGTTATATTTTGGAAAAGACACTTGAATAAACAAATCTTGTTTCAAAATAAAAGCCTGAGCAGATCTTCCATGTTTTCTAGGCTTCTATCACCCTTAACTTCAGTGCTGGATAAGCTGAACCATTAGCAGATGTGGTTTTTCTCCCTTTGGGCTTCCCAGCTGAGTACAGAAAACAACATAACCCCAGTTCTAAAAAGCAGATCCTCAGTATAATTTCTGCCCTAACATACTTAGGATTTTTGAAGTTCTGTATATAAACCAAAGATTATCCACAGTCAGAGAATAATGAATATTTCATTAAGGGAGGTTTTACTGCAAATATTTCCGAACATAATAGCAAAAAAGATAACACATCTACACTGCAAAAGTCATAACAAACCTTTGAAAGACTGGCATAAGTGTTTGCCTTTGAGAACATCTTGATCAATAAAGGAATTCTGACATTTCTGGCCCATTCAAAGAGGAGAATATTAAATCTCTTTAAGTCTTCTCCTAAAAGACTTGCATTTGAAGATACGTCAACTATATTCAGTGACAGCAAGTTCACTTTGCAGAAAAGTGATGTTGGAAAGGAAATAGAGGAAACAGTCGAAAAAAAACAACAAGAAAAAAAACTTAGCAGTACCTCAGATCCAGTAGTCTTTGACCTCTTTGCAGGAATTTCTTTATCCTATAGGGAAAGAGTGAAATAAAGAAGTATATAAAGAACACTAGAAAGCAACAGCATATTCACATAAATACAGGCAACAGTACTTTGCAATGCAATTGAAACAACCCTTTGTGAGCACAAAGGCCTAAATTATAACTTTTAAAAGTAAGTACTCAGTTCTGTTTCATTGTGAAATTCTAACCTTTGAGACATTAACAAAGGAAGATAAAAAATGTACAAGGACACATGTACTTTCTCCCTGTTACCAAGAAATTTAAGCAGCAATTTAGGCCTGTACTCAACTGATTAAAAACAGTCATCCTTCTGTACAGCTGAAGAAGACAAAAACCAATCCAAAATAAACAAAATGAGTACAAAATAAAAGGGCTGGATTTATCCATCATAAAGTCCATAAATCTTAGACAAGGGGATGGAAAGACTCTAGCATACATCCTTAAGTCATTCTCCTGCAAACAAGGCAAAATTAAGAGAGACCTTAACCATGACTTCCCTTCTTGCTCACCCTTCAGGCCCTATTTTGGGTAGAGTGCTATTTCCCCACCGACACACCAAAATGAATGTCTCTCCACACTGATCAGACACTGCTGTACTCTAATTTAATCTACTGGCAAAATCAAGGCTATAAGCTACTCCCACAAGCTTTTAACTCTAGGTGCAGGGACAGCAAGGCCTCTGGAACAGGTGATGAAAATGCCCATTGCTTTTCTAGCAACAGCACGGACTGAACATGGCATCTTAATAATGATACTCTGAATGGCCTGCCTCTCCCACTGACAAGCACTGGGGTCTGCTGATCAAAAAGGTTTCATTCAGATTTCCAGTCTCTCAGATTTAATAATTTAAGAGATTGGTTCATCAGTTCAGGAGTCTCCATCTGAACATATTCAAACTAATGACCTTTTGCACCACTCATATCACCCATAGAGATTCAGCAACAAAACAAGAAAACGACTAAAACTCCCCCAGCCTGTTTGTGTCACAAGCACCCTGTGATAAGCAAGCCTCAGCCTAAACCAAAGACTGGCAGCTCTCCCATCAGCGACAGGCTAAACAGCCGTTTCATTATTGCTGTAATGAAACCCCAGGGAGGGCGGCTAACAAGACATGACAGTGCTCAGCTGCACCTTGCGCACTGCGAGCCTCCAAAGGTGTGATTGCCACTCCTCCCCTGGGCATTGCTGCCGCCTTCCAATCCTAATGCTCCTTTTGGGAATTAAAGACATACACCATAAGTTATGCAAGTGTGTGCTGTACATCCACGACAAAGAAATGTACACTTCTAATGGCAGGTGTAGAAAACTGCTAATTCCAAAAGAGTAACAGCAGAAAATTAATTCAAGCACAAACCTAAACACAGAGAATTATCACAAGATACACTGAGGGTTCTCCTGCCCTCAATCACTTAGAGACTTAAAGAGACACCTAGGCTTGTATAAACAGCAATCATTATGTTTTACTGCAAGTTACTAAACTTAGCTGAGAAAATTTGGTGTAGTCATTGTGCCTGCGTTACATAAGGCATCAGTCTTAGAGTGGCCCTTTCTGGCATTATACATTTCTCTGTTGATTACCAAAAAAAAAGCTTTTCAAAACTGCATTTTTATCTAAAGAACACCAACAAAATTATTAGCATTTTGAAATTAATCATGTTTCAAGGCATAAAAACATACCTCTTTAGATCCAGCAAACAAGGGAATGTCATGGAATGGGGAAATGTATTTACCATCTGCATTCTCTGAAAGACAAAGCGAAGTAGCATTGCAAACCTAAAGATATGGCATAAGATGTTTGTGTTGCTAAACACCACACAATAGAGAAATGCGTTTATGCTATGATTGTGCATTGGTTAAACTTTTTCTGAAGTTCAAGTTCAAGCATGTACTGACATGGAGGACAAGGAATTGGAGTGTTTTGACAAGGAATTATTAGAATCAAAGTTATTGCTTTAGAATTCAACACTATGCTTCTCTTCTACCTGGCAATACAAGCTATACAAGGATGAGAAGATTCTTTCATTCTTTTCTACTCCCTGGCCATACACAACCATTAACAAATAAAAAAAAGAAACAAACCCAAAGGAACCTCATTTCCATTGGTGGTAAGTGAATTCATCTGGGTTTCTAGCAATGTTGCCTCTGTGATTGCACTGTATTTCCAATAAACAAAGTTTCATGACCACAAATCCCCCAACATAATAGGCCAAATTCTGATCAAGAGTAAGTGAGGGATGGGATAATTGCTCGAAGCCCTTGATATGAAACACCACACCTTGAAACCAGCAGAAATTGATCTTAACTTAGTGGGGGCCCAATCTGCACCTCAGCCTTGCCCCCACTCTAGAAAGAAACTAATTTCACTGGAGTGCATATTTAAGTTTTTCAAGTCCAAGCATCATATCAAAAGAGTCCAAACACTAATTCAAATCCCAAGGAATTTCTCCTCTGTTAGCACCCCTGTTCATAGTAAAGGAAAAAGCTGACAAGGCACTTCACTCGGCTCTGGACTTTTGACCATTTCAGTAAAGAAGAGTAAATGGAGCTGATATCCGATTCCTGGAAACCTCCCAGATGTTCCTCCCAAAACCAAAATTTAGTGGTAAGCTGTTTATTACATTTTGTTTATAAAACAAAATTTAGTGGTAAGCTGTTTATTCCCACCAAATAGAGTGACTTTCTCTAGACGATCTCCTGCACTGGCAGCCCCAGGAATGAGCACAAGGGAGCTCTGGCAGCGCTGCCAAGCGGGCACACGCTGCCTCCGCTTCTCCCACACCAGCAGACGTCAGAGTTGACTGTAGGTCAATGGACCAGAAATGTACAAACCCACTGCGATAGGACTGGCACACAAACAAGACAACACTGTTACGAAAATGCGTAATACTGAGCAAGGCACATCCTCAGCTCTCGCTGGGTCTTGAGACGCCTCCTGGAGCCCTGCCCGTGCCCTCGCACTGCCGCTTGCCGGTCCCGCTCGGGGCTGGAGCCCCACGATTTGGATGCCAGCCTCCCGCCTCGGTGACGTGTCTGGTGGGAGGGAGGGCTGCCCTGCTCACCAGGGACAGGCTGGGCTGCCACACCCCAGAGCCTCTCACGGCTGGCCCTGGGGTGCCACAGGCCCGGCGGCCAGGCTGCGCTACACGGCATGACGGCACCGCTTCACCCCCGGCGCCCTCCGGGGCTCGGCAAGGGCACGGCCGGGCCGGGGCTGAGCAGGCCCAGCATCCCCTCCAAAAGCCGGGGTGTCTACAGGATCTGCCCTCACTCTCTACAAAAACACTGCTCTCTCCCTGCAGCGGTGGGAAGGCTCGGCGGCGATACCTCAGCCAGCCCGAGGAGCCGCCGCGGGAGCGGGGAGCCGCCGCCGCCACCTCCGTGCGCCCCGCGGGCCGGGGAAGGAAAGCGTTTATGGAGTCCGGGGACTGCTACTTACTAAAGTAGAGGCGGTAGTCGGGCGAGTTGGGCCGGCCCCGCTGTTCCGTGCTGTAGCGGGACATGGCGCCCAGGCGCCCCCACCCCCGCGCCGCCAGCAGCAGCCGCGACAGCCCCGGCGGCGCTCGCATGATGGCGGCGGCCGCGCGCCGCCTTCCCTCCCCTTCCTGCGGCCGCCGCCGCGCCGGCCCTGCCCCGCCTGCTGCGGCCCCGGCCGGGCCCAGGGCAGCGCCGCGGGGAAAGAGACAGGCTGGGGCTGCACAGCCTCAGGCGGAGCTCCATCGGGTTGAAATTAATAGTGAGGAAAGGCAGCCCCTCCTTGAGGCGGTAGGTGACCGCAGCGGGAGGCAGGCAAGCTGGCGCAGGTGGTAGCCCGGGTGTGCCCAGGCTGGGTGCTCGCAGGCCGCCAGCGCTGCCACAAAGGGGGATGCCGAGAGAATGCAGCCAGGCTCTTCTCCGTGATGCCAAGCACTGGGACGCGAGGGAGCGAACAGAAACTGACACACAGGAAGTCCCACTGAACTTACACTAGAGCCGATTTTCATTATGTCCTCACTACTGTTTCCCCATGTACACCTCTGAAATGTGTCGGTGCTCTGGGTCCTTGATGGAGCTGTATTCTAGTGTGTAGATTTCCCATTACAAGAAGGCTCTGGCGGGGGAAAAAAAAACTATAGTCTCCTCTGATTTGTGCCACTGCTTGCTGCATTTGTGACGATAGGCATCTCCAGAAGAGCAGAGAGGCAATTTTGCAGGGCCATTCCCCACTTCTGCAGAAGCTACGAAATAGTACTTCATATTTCATCAGAGGAGTTGGCATCTGAGTTCACCAAATGCAAAGTTTTCAGGGGTAATCCCCTGAATTGAACATGTAGGGGTGAAATTCTTCATAGAATCATAGATCTGGGGGGAAGGATCCTTAAAGATCATGTAGTTCCTCTCTGCCATGGACAGGGACACCTTTTACCAGACCAGGTTGCTCAGAGCTCCATCCAACCTGGCAATGAACATTTCCAGGGATAGGACATCCACAACCTCTCTGGGCAACCTGTTCCAGTGTCTCCCTCACAGTAAAGAATTTCTTTATTATATCTAATCCTAGACATACTCTTTTTCAGTCTGAAGCCATTCCCCCTTGTCCCATCATACTCCTGTAAGAAGTCCCTCTCCGTCTTTCTTCTAGGCTCTCCTCAGATACCAGCAGCTCTCTGTAGTTCTAAGTCTTTTAAGTTTGTCTAGAGGGCAAACAATCTGTTTTTCATGTGGTGTAATTAAAAAAAAGGAAAAATCTATATAACTTTTTTTTCTATTATAATAAAATCCATTATGTGCTTTCTTTGAGTTGGCCTGCTGCTGAAATGGGCACGGTTAAAAGGAAACACATGCCACAGGCCTAGAATTCCGCCTCTGCTTAGTTCTGAGGAATCTGAACTTCATTTATATAAAGTCAGAGCCTTTACAAATCACTTACAGAGAACACACACAGGATTTTTTTACACTTGCAAGGCTGACAGATGGGTGTAAGGTTATTCTAGTAGGAGTCCAATTCATATTTATTCTCCTCTACAAGCTGAAAAGTGAAACACACTGCAGTGTCCAGGAGTCCTGGTAAGATGCACAAAGTCTGAGCACAGAGTTCTCCTTTGCCTTGTGTTGTGAACATGGTCTTACCTAAAACTCTCTCATCTGTAATGGGAAATCAGCTGTGAAGCACTTTGAATTTATTAAATATAAATGAGTTTCTGTGCAGGCACCGTTTAGATGCATAAATAAATGCCATCATGTTACCTAGCAAGGGTAGATGATACAGCAGAAAACCACACTGACACCCTGCTAATGCTACCAGAGCAGAGTGATGCTTTAGGACTCTAAGGTATCCAAAATTATCTTAGTACTGCAGAAATATTAATCCTTTAAATAGCTTTGATTGTATTTTTCAGTATTGTGCATTATATTTCACTGAATACAGCTGAAATACACCAATACTCCTCAAGTCATGTTTGGGTAAAACCAGCTCCCTGGTTGGAATAAGTTTACCTACCATCCTTCAAATCAATGTTTTGGTTCCAGTGTTTACCTTGAGCAAATTCTCCAGAATTACCAAGTCTTTTACTGCCTAGGGATTTTTTTCACAGTCATTCCCAAGTGTTTTACATCTAGCTCCTTGCATATCATTCCAATTGGGCCAGCAAAAAGCATTTATAGGACTGATCCCGTTCATCGACCTTGTAACAGCTCCTGCTGAAAAACAATGAAAATATTGCTATTTATTTCAATGGAATTAGAGCCAGGTCCTTAAGACTTAAGTAGAACTTACATGGTGCTTAGGTTTTATGCTTGCCCTCTGCACAGGGGTGAATCTCATTCCAGCAAAATGCCACTGGAGGATAGCAAAAACTCAGCAGCAATATAACCATCTAAGCCTGAAGGACGTCCTTATTTTAAAAGTTTGTACTCTGCAGTGTACATTTACATAGATTTTAGATAAATTTGTATATACACACATAAATATTTTAAAATTAATGTTTTGTCCATTAAAATGCTGTGCAAATTAAATGCAGAAAATATTATCTATATTTTAATTTAAGGAAACCCATCCTCCTGAAGGAAAATAATTTTCATCTTTTCACCTAATAAAGCTTTGAAGAATTTCATTAGTACGACTACGTGCTATTTCAGTACATTTGCTCTTGGCTGGTGATCACATCATTATCATTAAATTTTGCTGTAATATAAGTTCTATCTCCATGGCTTATAAGACTGTTAATCTGAAGGAATCAATTCCTGCCAGCCTTCTGTTTTGCTGCTACCTGTATGCAGAAATTACAGCCAGGATCCCTCCCTGCCTGCCCAGCCACCTCGGTGGAACAGGTCACTCCCTGGGCGTGCTGGCCAGTGCTCTCTCATTCAGCCAGTGCCGTCTCCCCCACCTGCCAGTGGGTCAGCTGGGACCAGTGCTCACTGCCCCACCTGCCAATGGATCAGCTGGAACCAGTGCTCACTGCCCCACCTGCCAGTGGGTCAGCTGGAACCAGTGCTCACTGCCCCACCTGCCAGTGGGTCAGCTGGGACCAGTGCTCACTGCCCCACCTGCCAGTGGATCAGCTGGAACCAGTGCTCACTGCCCCACCTGCCAGTGGGTCAACTGGAACCAGTGCTCACTGCCCCACCTGCCAGTGGGTCTGCTGGAACCAGTGCTCCCTAGGGCAGATCAAGCCAGGCAAGTCTAGCTGAGGCAGTTTAGTGACTTTGGGCTAAGTTATCCAGGCTGCTTTTCAGCCAAAGCAAGTTAAGGGCCATGAACAACTCCTGCAAATCTTTGCATTGAGTCCTCAGCAGAAAAAGGATGACAAATCATTGGAGTGGGTGACCCCTTTCATTGGCACAGCTGGATTTGGTAGAGGATGTCTAGAGAGGATGTTTACAAGCAGCCAAGTCACATATGGATTTGTATATTGCTCACTGATGGATGCCTGATGGCAATGAAAGACTGCGTCATCTAACTGAAAGGAATCATTGTGTATTTCAGTAACTAGAACTAGGTTTATCAGGTTACACTACTTTCCATCTCAATGTGAATAAGAACAGAAACTCCTATCCCAAAGACACTAAATACTTTGGGTCAGACTGTGAACCCTTGTTTTGCAGCAATGAAGTCACTTCTGTAACCCAACTGGTTTAAAGAGACTGATCTTCTCTATTTATGCAAAATTTGGATTTAGTCATAATACTCATTATTGTTAAGAAGATTTTAAGTTTACACCCTTTTTTTCCCCAAATAAATTGTTTGTCTGAGCTGTTTTGTCTAAGCTGTTTGTTTCTTTTTAACCATGCTTTTTGTTAGGCTCCCCTGAGAAGTGTGTTAGGTTTGCTTGCCACACTTCTCTGGACCTCTGCCTAGAAAGTGATTTGCCTATCAAGAGGCCAGGACACCATGACTGACTCTAGTTTTGTCAGATATGTCCATTTCTTCCCTCCACTCCTTCCCTTCCCTCAGTACATCTGTAATGAGTTAATTTTAAGCTCTGTGAACCAAGGATTTTCAGCCTACCCTAACTCCCATTAAACTTGTTTGTGAGTGTGAACTGAAGCTTAATTTTTTTTAAGATTCTTATCTTTGTTACTCCAAGGCAATTCCTCCATCACAAAACAAAAATCACCAAATAATATTCTCTCTGGTTCATTCTTTCATTCATTCTTTCACAAATGAGCACAAACAGTAACATAGAGAAAAAGAAAAAAAAGGCTCCAGTTCAGCTATAAAAATACTGTCTGGAAATATAAAATTTTAGTGTGAAGCTGTAAATCTATAATGATTCAAAACAGAGACCTAGAAGGAAAATCTTTCCATTTGCTCATGATGGTCCATTTTTAGGTTCCATTCCTCTCTTGATTTGTGAATTGCCAGACATAAGGTTCTCAAAGAATTCCACAGCAAATATTTCATCTTGGTAATTTCTATGCCCTCTTATTTTACATTGAAACACACCAGTACTGAAGAATCATCTTCCTGTTCTTTTACCTGTGCCTCGCTCTCTTGCTTGTCTTTCCTCATTAGCTTTGATATCACAGTGCCATCTACTTGATCAACAGAGTCAGGTTATTTTCCTTAGAAAATTACACGGCTCTAACACTGAAGAATTCAAAGGGCTGCTCGGTTTCCTGGCAAGCTCTCTCTCCTCACCTCCCAGCCCTTTCAAAGCATCACTGCCCTTAGATGTCCCCCTTTGGGAGCTGGCCCAGCTCCAAGCCTATCAGACCTACACAAAGCCCTGGCTGGATAGTGACAGGTCCACAGCGCTGCAAGGACAATCCAAGCCCTGCCGACCCTTTTCTCAGCATCCCTTCTCCTCTATGGCAGGTGTTTCAATTTGAGAGATGGGTCCCCCTCTGTAGGCAGAAAACACGTCAGCCTTTTGTGTGCGTAAACTGGAGCAGAGGCTTTGTTTGGAGTAAGAAAGCATCACAGCAGTCAGAGGAGATAGATTGCATATCTTGAAAGGTTGAGCCATCCCTTCTTAGAAATATCCACAGCCCAGCCTGAGCCCCAGCAGGCATGTACTTTATGAATTTTTCCTACAAATATTTAGACAAGAAACACTGTAGACAGGGCTAAAAGAAATTATCACTGTGCACTTACTT